GGCGTTCAAGTTGGATTCATTAAAGCTCTTTTGGGGTATTCCAACAATAAAAACTATCACTGAAGATGTCAACAACTCAAATTATAAACTCTTTATCTATCGGCTTATAAATGGTAGTTCCTACTCTTTGGCATTCACACCTTCGTACTTTGTCACATATTGCAGAATAAGGAAAATATTTTTATCGATTTTGAGAATGTGAACAAACGACAAAATTTCTTCGTTATTCACTATTCAGCTAGGTGGATTTATTCTATAAATGAAATTTCCAATGAAATGATGTAAATCACGAGAAGAATTATCACCAATTTTGTAGTTCACGTGTTAACTTCCATTTTAAGATGATGTCACGTCTGACTATGTATACCTTCATAAACTTTTATAATACTCGCGAGACGGGGTCGTAGATGCGCACTGCTGAGGAGTCCCATATTAACACGAAACGGCCGTCCAGTGCTTCCAGGTTTTCCTTGGTGGTCTAGCTTCAACTGATTCATGCTTTCAACTATGAAAATAATACTTATATGTTAGTATAACAACACACAACTCATATCAAATAACATTAAACAGAATTAAGTAAACAATATAGGAATAAGAATAGGTTCTATTTATTTATTTAACTGATAAATATGAATGATTTAACATAATGTAATCATATTACAATATTATGAACATAGATGGTTTTGCATTGTAGAGTCATGGAATAATCTGGAATGTTTTCATTACTTCATTTCATCTCAAATAATATTTAATTATTTTGTAGTGACTTAGGAAAAGGTAACATAAAGAACTGTATTGTCCCGATAAAAAACCGATTAGTAGTTCCACACACACACACTCAACTGAACTTATCTTTTTCAAATTTCACAACAAACTACCATTCATATACCTTGTTGGAATCATATTGCTTATAATTTCACATTTCGGTCATAGCCTTCATTCAATGACATCATTAGGTAGCAGCTATCCTCGCAACTGATTTAGCTAACTATGCTTTGACAGACTAGTCTTCAAACAAGCATAAATAGATTAGTAAATGTTTTAGGTTGTTTTAGTGTGTGAAAATGTATTTTGTAGTATGTTTTAAGACAATGACAATTAGACAAGCATAGAACCGAAAAATATGCATCATATCCCGAAGTGATTTATGAATGGTAACTTTGAGAACTATTTATGGACAAATATGATATGTATATTTCCTACTATATAATTGTTAACTAACTAAACTATTCATATTCGTATCTCTCTTATTATGAGCTTTATTTTGACCCATACACTATTATTATACAATTCACCATTCTTGAGTTATACTCTGTCCATTAATTACTATTCCCCCTATTCACAGACACGTTTGGCTAAATCCTGTACAAATGTTGTTTCCTAATTTATGGTACTATGTGGTCAGTTTATCTGGTATATAAACCCAGTATGATTGAGAATTATGATTCATATTGCAGAAGCTGTTATTGGTGTTCTGGACTTAACTGGTTGAGCTAGGCAGAAAACATGACTGATAAGTACTCAAGACTGCTCATACGGGCTTTTGTGTATCATTGTGCGATCAATAATTTCACTCCTCCCTTATTGGCGATCTTATCACGTCATATATATAGAACAGGGCACGTACGCATACACACTCGATATAACAACTGGCGACGGGGTGTTGGGGCGATCCCGAAAATTTACCGCAAATGGCATGAGAAGCTCAGGAAACATTAAAAAGCATTTTATCCAATCAGCGTTTGATTAAAAGTTTTGCTAGAAATATCGCGAAAATGAAAAGTCACATGTAGAGGTTCTGATTGGCCTATCACTGCTAATATGTTTAGTAGTATTCTCGAATTTTCAGTAAAACCCAAGGTCTACTAAAAAACTATAAAAACCCTATATTTTCTGTACTTATGTATATTTTGCGCCTTTTCTTTCGCGTTCAAATCGCTGTGTAGTTCTAGCATGGGGTAACGAGACTAGCTTAGGATCCGTGTATAGCGTTCAATCAGCAAGACTTATCAATATGAATTGATTCTCATAAATAAAATGAATGAAAAAAAATTAAAATGACACTTCTGTAAGTGTAATCAGTGGTAGCAATGCCTATTTTTTCTATGAATAAGTAATTCCACTATGATAAATGATTTAAGTGACGTATATAAAAGAATAAGGTTAGGGTAAAGTTAATAATTAGATTAATTAGCAGTGAAGATGAATGCAGTAATATTTCATCCATCTTCACTATGCATTCAGTGTTTCGAGGGAGTGATGAATAAATTAAATTAGACGCCGGAGTCGGAATGGACAACAATTAGTATCAAGATATCATGGGACTACATGGACTAACTGGGAGAAAGGAGAGAGAATGGTGAATTTATGTACGTCCAACAAAATGGTTATAGGCGATACTATATTCCTACACAAACGCATACATAAAACTACATGAGTCTCATCAGACCACATTACAGCGAACCAGATCGATCATATTTCCATCCATAAGATATTCAGAGGGTCTGTGGGAGACGTGGGAACCAGGAGAGGAGCTGACAACTGCAGATCACCACCTGATTGTGGCCAATAGGAAACTGAATTCAAAGGAGCCATGTACAAATGGAGAAAGAGCATTACAAAGGTTCAATACAATTTTATTTGGAGATACAAACTCAACGATTGGATGATAGCTCTTAACAACATGTTTGAAACCCCATATGATCTACTAAAATAAGAAAAACTACTAATGAGGACAACTAGGAATGGATTAAGGAAGCACTAACTTCAATATGTCAGGAGGTTCTGGACTGCAAGAAGCATCATCATAAAGAATGGATCTCTATAGAAACCCTGGACAAGATTGACGAAATGAGGAAAATGAAGACAGTAGTTAAGAACAGCCGAACAAGAGCAGAGGAAGTCGTGGCACAAGCATAAAAACAAGCGAAGAAGAGCATTAGAACTGACAAGTAGTAATACGTGATAAAGCTAGCAAAGACAGTGGGAAAAGCCGTAAGGGGGGAAAATATGAAACATCCATATGACGCGACGAATAAACTGACAGGGAAATATAGTAAACCAGAGAGACCAGTCAAGGACAAACAGGGCATGCCAATCAGTAGAATTCAATGACTGAGAGTGATATGTTGAACAGTTTGAGGAACTCTTAAAAAGACTAGCTCCATTGAATCCACCGGATATCGAAAAGTTCAGACAAACGAAGAGTGGGAAAGCAGTAGAACATGACAACATACCACTGAGGCACTAAAGTCGGATACAGAAGTGACTGCAAACATGCTCCTTGTTCTATTTAGGAATGTTTGTGAGGAGGAACAAGTGCCGACAGACTGGAAAGAAGTTTACCTCGTCAAGATACCAAAGAAAGGAGATCTGAGCAGATGTGGGAACCACAGAGGAATCACATTATCGTCGGTACCAGGAAAGGTTTTCAACAGAATGTTGTTAAACCGGATGAAAGATACAGTAGACGCCCAACTTTGAGATCAACAGGCTGGATTCCGTAGGGATCGGTCATGCACAGACTAAATCGAGACACTACGGATCATAGTTGAACAATCAATTGAGTGAAATTCCTCAGCATACTTCATTATCCTTGATTATAAGAGGGTATTTAACAATAAGGATAGAAGAACATTATGGAACCTTCTTTGAAACTATGGAGTGAGTAACCTAGAAAATCGTCAACATCATCTGAAATTCATACTATGGACTACATTACAATGCGGTGCATGGAGGTCAGCTGACAGACTCATTCCAAGTAAGAACCAGAGTCAGACAAAGCTGATTATTCTCAGCCTTTCTCTTTCTTCTGGAGGTTGATTGGATTATGAAGACCTCCACATCTGAAGGGAGTCATGGAATGCAATGGACGATGTGACGATGTGAACTTCTCAGATGACTTAATCCCCCAATCCAATACACACCAACAAATGCAAGTGAAGAAAGTCAGTGTAGCAGAAGTCTATTTATTGTTAGGCCTCAAAATACACATGGGAAAAAGCGAGATCCTCAAATACAACCAAGAGAACACTAAACCAATCACATTTGATGGAGAAACTCGGGAAGAGGTGAAGAGGTTCATGTACCTGGTCAGTATCATCGATGTACAAGGAGGATCCCATCTGGATGTAAATATACGGATTGGCAATCAACAGCAGCACCACTACAGTTTGAGAATATATGGGACTCAAAATAACTGTCAACAGCATGAAAGCCAGAATCTTCAATACGAACGTCAGGACAATTCGGCTGTACGGAGCTGAAATTTAGAGAACTACCAAAACCATCACCAAAAATGTACTAGTATTTATAAACAATTGTCCATACAAGATACTGAATGTCCGTTGGTCAGATACCATCAGCAGCAACCTATTGTGGGAGAGAAAAAACCTTCATCTAGCTGAAGAGAAAATTGGAAAGAATGTTGGAAGTGGATAGGACATTCATTAAGGAAATCACCAAGCTAACTAACTAGCTAACTTTGGATCCTGATGAGGAATGGGAAAAGGGGAAGACCAAGGAACACAATGCGTTGGGAATTTGAATGAGGCATCAAAAGGATGAATAGTAACTGGAAACAAGTGGAAATGATTGTCGAAGACAGACTTGGATAGGGAATGGTGGTGGGCAGCCTGTGCTCCTCCACGAAGGGCAACAGTCTTAAGTATGTACAGTAAGTTAGTTGTAAAATGTTTATTAAGCAATTTATTACTCTTTAGTTTCTTTCATTTCTTAATCGTCACAAACGCCTTTCATATTTCCAATGTTTATTTACATGCTGAGCGGTCTTAGAGTTTTAACATAAATATTTTGCACCAAAACATAGCTTACTAATATTTCGGTGAACAAATAAAAGTGACTGATGATCTCTGTTTACTAATGACAAACATTCAGAAAACATATTCAAACACCATTGGATATAAATACATCATCACTAGACAAACCATACTATCAGTTTTTTGGAAGAGATTACAGTTAAAGAAATCTCTGTAATAAAAATGCAAGTTGACAAATTCATCATATATACAATCGTGATAATTGCCATAGCTATCTTTGTTAGCATGCCAGGTAAGATATTTCGGTCGTTTATTATTTAATGAAGTTTATTAACCTATATTTATGAGACATTAAATAGGAATAATATATTTGTAAAATCTCAGGGAATGAATTTGTAGTAAATCCAACGTTTCGCCTGGCAATCTGGTTCAAGCTTTTTCAAGGAATTATAATCAAACATCAAAATTATCGAATATAAATAGGTACATGGTTCTCCGAGTTCATTATACACTGAATAGGTCATCCAATCAACGTTAACAAAAAGTCTAAACTAGGTCTGTTTAAGAGATATGTGATTTGAATTGATGAGTGTTCATATAACATATTGTATAGAAAAACGTAAGAGGTGATGTTTGATTATAATTCCTTGAGAAAGCTTGGACCAGATTGCCAGGCGAAACGTTGGATTTACTACAAATTCATTCGCTGAGATTTTACAAATATATTATTCCTATTTAATGTCTTACATCAACTCGGCGCTCAAATACTGTGAAACTATTCGCTCTAATTTAGACGAGAGTTCTTATATACTATATTTATGAGGTTTAGTTTTGTCATAAATATGTAGGGGAGTTCATAATTCAGTATAATTAATCGGTTGAAACTGAATTCAGTGTCAAACTTAGTTGTTGATTGAAATTGAAATAAAAGCTTTAACAGTAACTTCCTGATAGTATATTAAGCGGTAATTTCAATTAGTGAATTAGTTCTGTTCACTAAATATCGTGTTTGATAGTTAGTTATTAGCAGTTGTCGGTGAACATTTTCAAACCGAATTCTGTGAAGTCCAGTCTATTTTAGTTAGAACAAGATAGAAGTAAATGTGTTCAAATAATTAGCAGTGTTCAACGTCATTCTTAGAGGATAGATTATTGTTTCTTTCATAATTAATACGTACTGTCTATTTTGCTCTTAAAAATTGCATAATCTAGAAATACATGCTTTTGGAATAAGTAAGTTGTGTATTTATATATGTTTATACAAATTTAGAAGTTTTTACTAAGTATAATACAAACAGTCAGATGTTCTGGCTATGTACCCATTCTTTTGTTGATGATGCCAGAAGGTTTGACAATTAGAAACTCATTTTGTGGGACAGAAATGTTCAGAGAATTGTTATGTAACTATATCATGTCATTGAAGGAAGTATATAATCACAGATAAAATAAATAATATGCATAAGTTTTGATTTTTTTTAAAAATAAACACTTCAAATCTGCCTTATTTACTAGAACATTCAAAGATTTCAGTGAAAACTACATGTCTGTAGATGAGGAACACTTTTTAGTAGACGATAGCCTCGTGATTCATATTCAACTCTTGAATTCAACAATTATCATAGGATTGATTCCAATTTTATCGATAATCAAAAAAACACACTGACCTTGATTTCTCGACGTTTGTGAATAATTTGTACAATCTTCAGATTAATCATTTCTGTTTTCAACTTTTAACAAATGGTCATTCATCTGTGATATTATTTATATCAATCTTTGAAATTTCAAGAAAATCAAGTCTGAAACACGAAGGAAACAAAGTTCAATTGATTTTAATTTCACCTGGCTAGGATCATGTATAGTGTCTTATTAAACTGATTTAAATAAACAACTAGGTTATTGCTGCATATTACGGTTGGTTACAGCGGTTTTCAAAAGGGATCAAACCAACTACATTTAAGCGAAATAACAGTAACTTACTGGCTTGTCATACGTAATCCAACTAGTGGTGAATAATAATTCACTGATCCTTGATAAGTAGGTGTGAAGTTAAATATTCGTTAGTTTTGATTATTATCGTAGTAATTCAGAGGAATCGCACCAACACAAGTACAAAACTATTCATTGATGAATTTTCATTGTCTTTTCACTTTGGAATAATAAATTTGTGACGAGAATTTAGGTATTCTGTTACACAAAGTCAATGGTGTAATTAAAGTTTCCAATGGATTTATATACTATAGTTGTTCAACTAGGTGACTTTTTATTTCAATCAGATGTAACTATTCGGATATGACTGTACACGTGAAACGTTTAGATTAATTTTGTTTATTTCATGTTTTAAGGGTTGTGATAATGTGTTCAATGTTTTTTTTGTGAATGATGCACAATTATTGATGTACAGTTTTAAACTAAATTAATTTTATTTTAGAATTAACTACCACAACAGCAGCTCCTAAGTATGTTTTATAACTTTTCGGTAGGGCTGTGGGTGGTGGAAATAATTTAGAATCCATATGATTTCATATTCATCCAGTGAAATAACAACCGTTAACTTTTTTTAATCTTTGACTTTGTATAATGAATGATACTAATTTTCTTTTTCTTAATCCCTCTAATTATATGACATGGGCCAACAATCCTACTTCAATAATGTTTAGAAACTAAATGTTCGTGTTAATTGTCTAGATAGATGCGTTACAATTGAACTGTTCTAAAGTAATCTATAACACATAGAAATTCACAAAACTTTCTAAAAATTCTTAACTTGATGTTACCAAAATACTTACTGAGTATTATCATTTTATGTCGTTGAGATGCCTTTCTAGGTATAGTCAAGCACAGATTACATTATCGACTAGAATCATTGAAGTGAATCTGTGGTATTATCCATATAAAGAATTTTACTGTAGTTTTGTCTTGTAGTTTTTCAGCAGTTCATAATCTCTCTCAACCAGTATTTAAAATCAGAACATAAAGCTAATCGATAGACATGTCACTTCTTATACTTTCATGACTTATTAAAATTAATAGCAACAGAAACGACAAATAACTTCAATACATTCTGTTAATCATTTCCAGTCATCTGTTGAAAATCATCTGCCGATCAGACATGCTTTTACATCTTCCCATTGATGTTTAGAATTGTAATTGATCAGTGTCTAATTGACATACGTGCAGTTTGTGAGGATTGCCTCAATATCGCCTTAAGTCACATGCATTATATGCAGAGATGATAGTGGCTAGAAGTGGAATCCAGGTCGTGCGTTTCATCTCATTTTAGACTTGTCAGTTGGATTCACGTGATGGTGTTTGAAGCGAACGGTACTGGGTCCGAGTCACAATATTTAACACAACGCTTACAAATTTTAACTTTTTTCACAGGAATAACACTTTGATTCAGATTATAATTACTTTCATTATCATTTGGGTGCCATTATTTAGTATTTTTGAAATTTTTTCTTAGTACAATCGGACATGATCGGATTAACCAAAAGAATGGTAATGAATAAGTGCTTTTTATGCTTATGATTTAGGGAGTTATCGAGGCAATATTCACAGGGCGCACATTTGCCAATAACAGACTGATCAATTGTAGTCGTAAATATCAATGGGAAGATTCAAACAAACAATATCAATATATTAAACTTCATCTCACTGCACAGACTAGATGCTATCAGGATTCAGTAGTTAGGTGGATAAGGTAATGTTGCTTGAAATGGACGGTACTGGGTTCTATTCCCTGTGTGGACATCAACTCTGGGATGCAGGCGCATCCAACTGTTGAGTCCTAAGTAGGAAGAAACGCGTGTTTTATATTCCACTGGTAGCCACCATCCATCTTTGCTAATGATATACGTTTAAATTGGTTTCCTTAGAAGAACTGTTAGTAAATGAATATTTCTAATTTCTATTTTTTTATTATGAAGTAAGAGACTTTTGGATAAACTATTGGATGGATTGTAAGTAATAATTTCTTCTTTTCTATCTTACAAATATTTAATAATACTTATGAGATCTGAAGATCAATTTAATTTTGACATATGGATGATTAAATGGTCAACATGTATACAAACATTAAGCTTATAGTGAAATGTAAACGAAGTGAAAATAATTTATTCCAATATACTTAGATTATTCATAGATAAATAAACAGTATAGAATGTATTCAGATAAAACTTATTTTTAATTAAAAACCATAGAATTGTTTCTTCTTTACTATTTAAACTTCAATTAACTTAATTCGGTTATTTATTTACTCTGAAGAAGTAGCTTAAATCAAGTTACAAAACGTCAGATATTCAATCTTTCTATTCATTGAGATATAACGAAGAAATGTATCTATTATTAATTTTCTACCTAATGTTCAATTTATTTGCAACTATCAAGTTTAACCTTATTATTGATACTTACATAGAATATATAATTTCTAATTGTAAATAGAGTATATTATCACTGTACTGAACCAATATTATACTACATTACTTAGAAAATGAACTGATAATTAGACAACATAGAACAAGAATCATGTCAGACTGAAATACATGTTCTTTTGAAAATTAATTTGAATTCAACTGAATTCCAGTTTACATTTATTGATAATTCAACTTAAGATAATTTGTATAAAATAATGATCTATTGTTGTTAGACATGAGATTGCACCACCTTCATAAGTCTTGTCAACTAACATTACGTAACATTATTATTTGAGAGTAACATAACTTATTTGGATTGTTTGAAAATGGGATTGAATAGATTCTACTTTATTTAAAGATAAGTTAATGTATCACTCATGTTGCTATAAACAAGTTTTTGCTATTAGAACTTCTTCAGTTATGTTGACTAAATGAGAAGAAATTAACGTTTCAAATAATAATAAATGGTCATTTAGAACTATGGAAACGATCTTATCTTATCACTGAATATCAGCTAGATAATTCAAAACATATTATCTCACATTATGTCTAGTTGTCAACTGAGACTTAAATTAGAAATAAGCTTGAATTGGATAAAATTAAAGACCTTTACGTAGGAATTGTTTCTGTACCCAATGCTAACAATATATAATAATCACTTTGATTAGATGTTATTCCTATAAGTTAATTTATGTTGATGTAATTTATGTCAATATTTCTAGGTACCAATTTTTTAATCGTCATTGAGGAGGTAAGATAAAACGATTTTTAACAACGTGTAGTTAGGCATTCAAGTACTTTTTAAAAAAAAAACAATTATACCTGATACATAAAACAAACTGTTCAGTTTATTTAAAATATAGTTCATTAGCTTAGAACAGATTGTATAATTCTATAAAAATTAATAATAAACTTTATCACATGAAGTCAAGTGATTAAAAACAAAAATTAAAACAAAACTTCAAAATATGATGAAATATTCAGATTAGTTTTAGTTTCAGTTTGGAAATGACAGGAGGCTTGATGGCGTGTGTTAGTCCTGGCAATGATGGTCTTTCAGTTGATCCAACTTTCTTTTGAAAGAGTCGATGGATGGAGCCTGAACCACGTGCTGAGGTAATGAATTCCACTCGTTAATGACTTGATGGGAAAGTAGATAGTCAGCTGTCCTCGGCTTGTGAACGTTCTGGTCGTTCTAATGATGGCGTTCTGGTTTATCAATAATTCAACTTCAGAAACATTTACTCCAGATCAATCTATCTATCAAGTTATGTTGTTTCCACAGAATATAATGCTCGATTGCAAAAAAAAACAACAGACAAACTGATATACGACTTCACGAAAGAACTTCACTGTTTATGCACATACATCAACTAAGCCAATGATGAAAAATTAAAATCGGTGAATATCTGCGGTTATTTTGGTTATAACAATTTCAGCATTAACATCCAGCTCACTAATCTCCATTAAGACAGTACTGGCGTCAATTTCATCAAAAACTTGTAACTACATAACATTATCGTGTCACTTACTATCGTAAGACCTACTATAGACTTGGTAAAAATAAAAGCCTGTTTACATCACCTTAACATTTAGAGGTGATTCAAATAGCCTTTTATTGAAAAAGGGCTTAAATCAGTTATTAACAAGAGGCACTACGCAGCGAAGGTCATTATCAAAGAAAAAACAAGGTCCATGCCTCACCAAAAACCTAAAAGACATGAAATCGATCGTGTCACACCCCATTACATTTATCAATTAAAATGTGTATGTGGCCATACATTCATAAGGAGGAGTAATCGTGATCTCTACATTAGAATGTCTGAACATGTACCTAAATGTCTAGAGGTTAAGCGTTCGTGTGCGAGACCGAAGGTTCTTGCATCGAATTCTGAGTGCAGGATTTTATATGAGCACCGCTGAGGAGTCTCATACTAGGACAAAACGGCCGTCCAGTGATTTCAATGGTGGTCTAACGGTGATCGATTCATGATCTCAGTCGAAAAGTCAACAATCTCCACAAGTCGATACTAATGAAAATCAAATGACCCAATAAGAGTAGATGATAAACATCCATCATCCTCTGTTGCCAAACATATAATCAAAACAGGCTATAAGATTGATCTTAACTCGGCTTTTGTGGTGTTGTATAAAAGTGTAAAGGGGCGTATAATAAGGTTTATTGAAGCCTTAGCCATACAAAAATTCAAATCCCCTTTGCGTATTCGAAAACAGTTTGTTCTCACTTTAAATCTACCCTGGCTGTATTAGCTTATTATCCAGAGTGATTAGGTGTCAAATTGTTTTCATATTATTATTATCATTATTATTAATATCCTTGTCTCCTCTTACCCTTATTTCTAGTCTAATTGACCTTTTATTTTTATAGCTAAATGTTTTTAACAAGTATATATGTGATCAGATTTTTCGAAATGTATTACGCCAATATATCATCACATAGTTCTGATGATCTTCGTATTCTTAGTACACTATCGAAATTTATCTTGTCACATAGTTCTGATGATCTTCGTATTCTTAGTACACTATCGAAATTTATCTTGTCAATTTATCAAAAATGTAAATATACCAAAAAGTAACTCATTAATTTCAATCTTTACATAAATAACCCGAAAAAGTGAACCTTTACAAAATAATTCTTCTTTAAGTTGATACAATTGAAGTAAACTGAAAATGTATGGTTGAAATCATGAGTCAATTGAAGCTAGATCACCACGGAAAACCTGCAAGCACTGAACGACCGTTTCATCCTATTGTGGGACTCCTCAGAAACGCGCACCCACGATCCCGCCTTGAGAGATTCGAATCCAGGACCTATCAGTCTCTCATGCGAGCGCTTAACCTCTAGACCACAACTATAAAATTACTAAAATCTCCAGAAAACCCCCTTCTGAAAATATATAATTTATAATAATCACCTTTACCAAACAAAATCTGATCAGATACTTAATAACCAAGACTTGATTTACATTAACTTTAATTGTAGATGTTACTATTTACAATGTTTATTATAAAAAGAAAAAAATCTTTGCAATTTGATGATTGAACTTTTCTTTCATCGTTTCTTCCTTTCAGAAAAATTCTATAAATAATTCATTGGAAAATAAAAATGATTTTTTAAAAAAAACTTTCATATTCAAGAAACATTTAAAATAATCACCATGCAATACTTATTGTATTGACATTTGATTATGAATAAAATTTTCTTCTTTTTTATACGGTATCATATTTTGAAATTTGATCTTTTAAGAGGCGTTTACCTCCATATAAATTTTAAAAGCTAACAGTCTGAAAGTGGTTTCGAATCAGTGGCTACGTTTAGTATAGTATATACGTCAAATTAATTTTTAACATAATCACTATTAAAGAGGGAGAAAGTTCAATAAAATTCTTTCCGAATGTCTTTTTTAATTTTAAACCCAAAACTTGCACTTAGGTTTCCAGCCGTTTGGGACTTTTCGTCAAGGCGAGTCTGTAGTCTTGAAGAAATTCATGTGTCCTGGTTGAGTCGGCCCCACGTGACATTACAGATTGCGAATATGGATGATGCGGGATTGTGTCCCTCATGGGGAACCAGACTCCTCTAGATTACAGGCACACATTGCTGATGAGTTCAAAATACCACGAAACATGAGTCCATAGCTTCCTGTAAACTGCCTTTAGCTACTTTACTTCTAAAATTAGTGAACTCAGTGTCAAGGAACTTAGACTAATGGATATATTGCAATTTCATCAGTACTAAAAAGACTGAATAAACACGAAATTAGTCAGCACTCAGTGGTCGGTCAATTTTGATGAACTCGGTGTTTTTTTGACAAACATAATAGTAAATTGAAGAGACACCATAGGTCCTACTATTTCCGAATTCCTATCTAACTAAATGCGTAGTATGATATAAAATGCCGGAGGGGGTGTAATCTAATCATAATTTATTTATAATGTATCTCGAATTTTCCCTTTTCATGTCACTGACAAATTCCTCTTTGTTTAATCATCCAATAACTGATTAGAATGAAGGCAACAACATTTGGAGTACATATTACCTTCATAAATTGTTCAAAAAGGCACTTTAAAAACAATAACCAACATTCTCAGTAGAAAAATAGTCCTAGGCTTTCCACACTCATGTTTTTTTATCTCATTTAGTGACCTCAATTAAGCTGAAATTTCACTGAAATCATTTTTAAATTGGTTTATTTCAGAGAGTTTGTTATCCCAATAATATTTTACTATTAAGTAGTAATAAGCACTAGAGAAACGCAAGATTATCCAGCAATGAATTATGAGTTGTTAATGTAAATAAATATAAAGAATATAAGAGAGTTATGATAATTGTTATGTCTCAATAACATTAGAGCATGGTAACTTTCATTAACCAAACTATGCATATATATAATTGCTAGGTAACTAAACTATTCATATTCATGTCCCCCTTCTATAAGCTTTATTTTGACTCATGAACTATCGTTATACGATTTACCATTCATGAATTATGTCCTGTCTATCACTTACTATCTCCCCTATTCACAATCACATTTGGCTAAATCTTGTACATGTGTTATTTTCTATTTTAAGGTACAGTGTGGTCAGTTTAAATAGTATATAAACTCAGTATGTTTGAAACACAGTGATTCATACCACAGAGGCTGTTCTGGACTTAACTGGCTGAGCTAGGCAGAAGAAGGACCGATAAGTACTTTAGACTGTTCGTACGGTTTCTGTGTGTCACTGTTTCAATCGATAATTTGCTGCTCTCTAATCGGCGGTATTATCACGTTATACATTAACATGGCATCCACTCGACCACAAGTTATGACAATAATATTTGCTATATTTATCAAAGAAACACAGTTTTTCATAGATTCTATCCAACAGAAATCACCATCTCAGACAGAGAAAATCCTACTGTAACTAAATTGCTAATTAGGTCCATGGAATTTGTTAATCATTGAAATCAAACAACATGAAATTAGTTAAACATTAAAGAAATGATTAAAGTAATTCGAGAAAGCTTATGATATAAATTTTTTTAAATACCTCGAGTTTTCATGTTTAAATTAGTTTAAACACAAAATAAAAAGAAACTCTTATGTCGATTACCTGAGTGTCTTGTTAATATATGAACGTGCTGATTCCCGTAAATGATAGAGGAGTGAATTTATTGATCGCCCAATGATACACAAAAGCCCGTATGAGCAGTCTTGAGTACTTATCAGTCATGCTTTCTGCCTAGCTCAACCAGTTAAGTCCAGAACACCAATAACAGCTTCTGCAATATGAATCATAATTCTCAATCATACTGGGTTTATATACCAGATAAACTGACCACATAGTACCATAAATTAGGAAACAACATTTGTACAGGATTTAGCCAAACGTGTCTGTGAATAGGGGGAATAGTAATTAATGGACAGAGTATAACTCAAGAATGGTGAATTGTATAATAATAGTGTATGGGTCAAAATAAAGCTCATAATAAGAGAGATACGAATATGAATAGTTTAGTTAGTTAACAATTATATAGTAGGAAATATACATATCATATTTGTCCATAAATAGTTCTCAAAGTTACCATTCATAAATCACTTCGGGATATGATGCATATTTTTCGGTTCTATGCTTGTCTAATTGTCATTGTCTTAAAACATACTACAAAATACATTTTCACACACTAAAACAACCTAAAACATTTACTAATCTATTTATGCTTGTTTGAAGACTAGTCTGTCAAAGCATAGTTAGCTAAATCAGTTGCGAGGATAGCTGCTACCTAATGATGTCATTGAATGAAGGCTATGACCGAAATGTGAAATTATAAGCAATATGATTCCAACAAGGTATATGAATGGTAGTTTGTTGTGAAATTTGAAAAAGATAAGTTCAGTTGAGTGTGTGTGTGTGGAACTACTAATCGGTTTTTTATCGGGACAATACAGTTCTTTATGTTACCTTTTCCTAAGTCACTACAAAATAATTAAATATTATTTGAGATGAAATGAAGTAATGAAAACATTCCAGATTATTCCATGACTCTA